ATTACAGAATGTCCAGAATAAATCTACTAAATGTGGCCGAGTTTAATGCGAAAATAAAGGAAAACGTTCCATATTAATGTGGGCTCCGTTGAACATTTTTCCTTTTATTTTTTGTACTGAATTCAGAAATTGTTTACAAAGGAAGAACACTAAAGGAAACTTCAGGTTTTAATAGAATAAAAGGTGAAACGGTTATAAAGGTAAAAATGAGAAATTGAATATACTTGTGTGAAGTGTTGATTTCTTGCTTCTTTGAATATATTTAATTTAATATATTTAATTGCTTATCAAAGACGTATACAAGCAAACAGAGTTGAGGCCTGCTAACTTTTGTGCCTTTCGTATTCTATTAACGTTAGTTCTTGGTTACTTAACATATCTAACTTGCGTATAAACGAAGAGTAGTGCAAGAAACGAAAAAAGAAAGAAGAAACAAATCTCTGAAGACTGGAAATGACTGAAGAAGGAAGGATCAAAACAGGTTAAAGCAGGAAAAAAAATTTAATTTCACACGATTTCAAGTCACTTTTCAAAAGATAATCTATCAAACTTTTTTTTTCTACCGTTTGCTTTAAAAATAATTATTAACCTTTATTGAGGGAGTGGTTAGAGCGATATACATTTCAAAAAAAAAAAATTACTGTAAAGTGGTTTGACCCCTCTCGTTCTCGACGCCCAACGGGTTATTTGGATGTTAAGCACTCAGGAACTTCACTACTTTACTTTTACTTGCTTCATCATTATTTATTCTGAACACGGACACACAAAACTTATTCGAACACCTAGGAATTACCTACCTGGACAGTTTAGCTCTTTTAGCATATGACCGACCAGTGCACCTGTGAGGTTTCTCCATAAGGTCACCAATTTGGTCGTTTGCGATGGTCCTGGTTTCCATTCTTCAATAGTGGATTTCTGTCGGTGCTTCGACCTGGTGATACCTAACAAACTGACAAAACAGCTAGTCAGACAGGTTTTTTCTTAATTAAAAGTGCGATGATTTTTGAAGCATTGATTCATTTTTTGAAAACTCCTTTGATACTTTTTTTTCTTTTTCGCAACTAATTAACCTACACACCTTCAATATTGGGCTTCTGTTAGTGCCTCAACCTGCTTATAACACTGATAAGTTTAAAATGTGAAATCACATCTGACCAAAACAGTGAGTATAGGCAAACCAGTGTCATCGGGCTCTACTACATGCCAGCAAGATGTTACGCCTAACGTCCAAATTTTGAACAGAGGGTTTCTACCGATGTCTTAACCTGCGTACAGCACTGACACATTGGAAATAGTGAATTGTCGAAATGAGTCTGACTAAAACCGGGAGTATATGCAGAAGAGTTATTGGACTTTTTTTTGGAACGTTTCACCTCAAGTGATTCATTTCCAATAATTAAAACAAAATGGACTTATTAATCTCTTTGGGACCATTATAATGTCAGGTTTTTACAGTTAGGTGCAATAATTTTTCAGAAAATCTGGCGCTTTTTTGAAAATCAAAGCTTCATCTCTTCCCAAAGTTGTAAAAAGAAAAAAACCACTTAATCTACCTGCACTTTTGAAACCAGCTCTGGACTGCTGGGTATCTGTATCTCACGTAGAACATCAGACGGTTTAAAATCTTTTTTACCATTAAATATTAAAATCACCCGAGTTTATGACTTGTATTATTGTTTGATTATGGACGTTAATATGAAATAATGAAAGGTTACATAGGCTAAAAATACAAATCTAATTAAAGCTGTTTTGTACTGTGTATAATCCACTTTTCACAACAAAAAAAACACATCCTTGTGTTACATCTCATAAAAATGTTATATATATATATATATATATATATATATATATATACCTATTTTGTGCACTTTAAGTATCACTAATATTTAATATCAACATCTCACTAACAAGGAGAAATTTTGACATTCCCAAAAACACGTGTTTTATTTTTAATTTTTAATACACAATTACAAAAGTAAACGTGTTTGAATGTTATTTACGATCATATTATTATTAAAAGCAATTATGTGTACGAGGAAAGTAAACACTACCTAAGAAACATTAGACTGATTTTCACCTGATCTTTATCATCGTTCGGTGCGCCACCCTACTTATAACCCCGATCAGCTCTCTTCTGTCAGACCAATATCGAGGATAGGCCGAGCAAAATGATCGGGAAAAAACCATGGTGCAAACCTTATTATATTTAAAAGGTGCATAATTTACTATGGTTAACTTTCTCCCTGTTTTAAAGATTAAATAAGGCTTTTGAAATTCTGGAAATCACTTGAAGGGAGTTTTATATATTTTTTTGTTATTACTTAAAATGTTGATTTTTCTCTTCGTTTTTTGCAAGGCAGCATCCTAACTCTCATTCACTATTTAGTGTACTTTTCCGAATATGACTCCATGCTTTAAGCAAACCAGGACCCAGTATGGGTCTTCAGTAACTTCCAGAACATCCAGGATGTCAGATGCCTTATTTTGCTATTAAGATAGTTACGAATATACGTTTACTAGCTTTCGAAATTTTCATTTGCTAAATGTGCTAATGTATTCAGGTAGATTATTCGTCATTCGAACCCGCATTATCGCCTCATACAAATATTTATTCACAAATCTAGGATTTTAGGAAAACTGACACCCTTAAGATGGCGAAATACCTTAAACGGGTTAAATAGATCAACCCAGCGAGGATAGTTAGACTAAAATGATCGTTAACAATCAAATTTTATAGAAACTATATATTTTAATGTTTTGCTAAAGAATGTTTGATGAAGTTATGTATTGTGCTACCTTCCTGGACAATATTTGTTAATTGGAAGAATGGTTCAAGAAATAGAGAACCAGAGTCAACGAAACCAACCTCACAACAATTTTGTCCGTGTGATGTGGATGGTTTACTTATTCCTAACTTGCCTTCTATACTAAAGTATTGTTTGACCCTCGACACCGAACGGATTTTAAAGCCCATTTGATGACAAAAACTACTTTGCACAGTGCATAGCACTCTGATATGTGGAACCCTATACCACAAATGTTTTCAGGTGTTGTCTCCTGTGTTTCCTTTCAGAATCTACTCGTACTGTTTTTACGCCAAACTTTCCCAGATGCAGTGCCCTGTAAAGGAACCATTTAGGTTTCTGGGACTCTTCCTGTTCCTTTTGATGAATTCAAAAGTTTCGTTCTTATGGGTTATTTTTCTTAATTTCCGAAGGGAATTCTTTTTAGATTCCCTGATCAACATTGTTTTTTCATTGTCACAATACCTTCGATTCTTGGTCGTCAATGGTTTGTAACCCTATGCCAAAAGAGGTTCTGGAAATATACCTTTCTTGCAAGGGCATCTGATTCTGTCCAACAGCTCTGTATTGAATGGCCCTTTAGTTACCTTGCAATTGAGCATCAACTGATGACATTCGAGTTAAGTCCTTTGATGGCTGTCTGACTATCTACATGATATATCTTTGATTTTGTTGCTCAATTGCATGGAGTTAAAAGTATACGCCTATGGATCATTAAGTATTTAATTGTAGTTTGTTTTTATGTGCCTTTTTGCGCCCCTAGATTCATCACACATTTGTCGTAAACAATTCCCTCCGTTAATTGGGATAGTTGAGACTTTACTTCCATGAAAAGACTTAGGAATTTCATTCAAAAGTATAGAACCGAACAGACTTTGTGAACTATTCAAAAGACTAGATATCAATAGATCTAAACTCTCCCTAGAGAACAAAAACCTCATCTAAACATGATCACTGCAACCAAACTGTACGGAATTGAAATGTTCAACCAAACGTGTCTCCAAACGATCCAGTCACTCCAATCCAAAATCCTTGGAACCATTGCCCAAGGTCCGAACTTCGTATCCAACTTTACTATCTACAAGTCATAGAAACTGTCAAATCCCATTTGTCCATAAAACCATAGACCCTCTTAGCAACCTCCTAGCCCAACGCCTTTAATCCTAAACCATTTCCCGTAATACCCTAAGACGCATAAAACACCAATGGCCGGGCGATTTTCTCCCTTGTGGGAAAGGTAAATAATGCTGGGGTAGGAGTGTAATTTATGGATTAATTCTCCACTCTTATGTTATAATAAAAAAGCCATAAATGGAAGAAAGAAGAATAGTGATGGAATATTTCGTTAAATGAGGAAAGTAAGGGTTTCGTAGATGGCATTATATATTGTGGTTAAGGAAAAAAAAAGCCTTTTTAGGATGTTTCGAAGAATGGTGGAGGTAATTAGATCACATTTGGAGATTTGTGAATGTTCTACTTTACTTCAGAAAGTTGAAAAGGATTGAGAAGTAGATGAAGAAGAAGTCTTATACTAAGGTTACGTATTACATGTGCGTGGTTGCGTAATTTATGTCTTAATGAGATTTCATGAGAGGATTCCGAACGGATTGCGAATAGGGAATAGATAAAATACATTCAAGCCAATATTTCAAAATTGTTTATAGGTTCACTAATTTCGTGGTCCGCTTGACCAATTAATATATTACAATTAATTAAGGTTTTTAGTTGTGATAAAAAAGTCAATGGTACGAGCGGGATTCGAACCCACGATCTTCGGCTTGACTAATTGATTAAATTCACTTATATCGTGGTCCGCTTGACCAATTGATATATGACAATTAATTGGTCAAGCGGACCACGAAATTAGTGAATTTAATGATTAAAAATGAAGTGTACTTCGCTAAAGCTCTCCGTGGCCACTTCATTTGTCGTCGAGAATCCAACCCGATTACATGACATTTGAAAAATGGCAAAAAGGAGGGAAAATTCAAAAGGTGCGGTTGAGATGGGAAGTTGGATCGAGGTCACGATAGCTCATGTGGTAGAGCAGCGGCAAATCGTGGGTTCGAATCCCACTCGTGCCATTGACTTTTTTTATCTCAACTACAAACCTTAATTAATTGAAATTGTTTATAGGTGTAATTGTATTTTTAAAGCTATCTTTGTGTTATTAATTTTATTTTATTTTTGTTTCAGTCAAGACGGAAAGAGCTATACAAGTCCCTGGCAATGGACCACACCGGTCACTGTAAGCGGAGAATGACAACCAACCTAAAAGATTTAAAAAGGCTGTGAACACTTTAAATATTTTCCTAATTAAGAATAAAATAATTAAGAAAAAGAAAACTGTTGATTCTTTAATATTATATATTTTAGTATTTTTGAAGTAGTATTTATATTTAAAAGAAACGTTAGACCCAGTTATAGTTTAATATATGTTTTGTTTATGCCTTTGTAGAGTTTAATTTGGATTTTCTTTTTCGTTTACCTGGAAAAGTTCTGTTGTTAATATTGCTACGTATACAGGGACAGAAGCCATATCCTCAGATAAGCTCAGCCTCTGAAGCATTCTACCTCTAATTTTCTTTTAAATTCACACATCTTTCTCTAAAATTAAAATTCTGTTTTGTTTTGTAATCCCTTATGAAAATTTTGCCCGACGAATCAAATAATCACTTGCTGTCCTACCGGAGACTGAGCTTCGTTTCGTTTTTAATATGTAAGAATGGTGCTTAATCGATTTAGGATCGAGCACTGAAGATTTTCTGAATTACTTTATATTTTTGTCGCCGGACGTAGGTAGCGAAGAGGATTTGTTTTGTTGTCGCCACTGACAAGCTAAAACCAGTGGTCTATATCAAGAAGACAATATCATACATGTTAACTAAATTATTGCTAACTTTTAATCGATATGTATATAATCAAAAACAATTAGTATGTAAAACCACCGAAGACGTGGAAAATAAAAAAAGGGGTTTCCTATTCTGCGTTTTATTTACCAAAATATGTATATAAGTATGATGAAAAATGTGTTTTATAATTTAAGAAAAAGAAAAACCTGAAAATTTGACATGAAAGTTTTCGAAATGTCATAACATGTATATGTAAGATGTGTACAAAAGTAATTTAACAATGTGCAATTAACTCTGTACCTTAAAAGCTTATGAAGTTTTGCAGAAGCATATTGTTCTTATTTTGTTATTATTATTTTTTTTTACAAAAACCAAAGATATTGAAATACTTTTATTTTAGTTTAGCATAACTGCTACTGAGTACTTGTTAGCTTTTCATATTTCATACGTGTTTTTATGGACAAAAGAAAAGACATTCCCAAGATACTTCATGAAACCAACGTTCTACACAGGCTTCTTTGGTTATCTTTTCGATCATTTCTTATCATTTTCGTTTAATTTTTGTTTCTGCTTGCGTATGTGAAAGTGTGCAAAGAAAGAGCCCAAATAAGAAAGAAAAGAACTGTAATCTCAATAAAAAGTTTGTCGGTCGAAAAGATATTTGGAAAAATAATGGGAGTATCGGGTCAATGTTCCCAAATGGGAAAAACAAAAATGCATGTTTGTATGTTTAGTAATATTTTCTGTGAAGTAACGCCGGCATGATTAAATGTCGCGATATTTTAATTATGTACATAGATAAAGAAAAATTCTGTAATTTCTGTTCTATTGTGATTACGTTCCGTTAAGTCTAATGACTGTTAGTTGGTAACCATATATCAAACAGGGTTATTCCTGTAGTTGTTTAATAAAACATAGAAAAGTATTAATTTATACTGTTGTATCTTTTTTTTAAAATAAAATAATCCTTTACTCACATCCTGTGTACAAAAATAACTAAGGAAGGGTAAGCATTTACGTCGATAATCAATGTCTTAAGATTAATATCTTAAGAACCCAGAAGGAAGGTCAGACAAAACTAGAACAAAGTCTAAATATGCAACTCTGGAATATTCGGATTTTGTTTTTTAAAGGAAAAATATTGATTGAAAAAGTGCGGGCGAACACGCCTGACCACTATAAATCAGCGAAATGATCAACAGTGATCTCAGCTCGAAGGAATTTATTAACCACAAAGTTACCCAGTTCTAGGAAACAGTTAAGTATATTGGTTTTATAATAAAGAAATAAAACAAACCATGGATATAAAGTGAATGAAAATCTTTATGTTTTATAGACAAAATTTTGGCATTTGTATCACCATCACAGTTCATCATTAATTCATCAAATCATTCAGTTTTAAATAACAAGGTTTGTAAAGATTGGACTTCATCCAAATCTCAGGTAGTGTATAAAAGGTCTGCTAATGCTGTCAGAAGGTTTATTCAATGAATTTCAGGTAATCCTAGGAATTCTACATATTGTAAATGCAAACGATATCTGTTTAAAACTGCCTTGGAGGAAATGATTTGGTGAAATTTAATATCAACTTGCTTTGACCACAATTTTGGTCTTTCCTTTCTCAGTCTAACTTATTTCCTCCATCCAGGCTTTTTTAGCACAAACGAATAACACATTAAATAGGCATCGAAGCAACCATTGGATTTTGCTAACTGTTCTATTAAAATAAGATTAAACCCATTAGATTTCGTGTTCCGATTGACCAAGTAACTTCTTTCAATTAATAAATCTTTTTATGTAAGGTATTGGTTGAAACGATAAGTTAGTAGCCAAGCCGAAGGTCGTGGGTTCGAATCCCGCTCGTGACACTAACTTTTTCATTTCAACCAATACCTTACATTAAAAGATTAATTGAAATAACAATAAACGTTCTTTCAAGATTTTCCTATATGTTCTAAAGTTTTAAGGAATGGTTATACATAGGTTTTCTGGTGTTTTAAGAATTATTATTTATGATTAAATAATTTCTTCTCAAAGGTAATTAAAATGGCAGAGTTACTAGATTATCTGTTAAAAAATTGCTCGATGAAAATTGTTAAGAAATGTAGCCTCTTCTTGCTTTGACTATATTTTTTATTGTTCCATACTCAACCTACTTCTTTCCTCTTTCTGAGTTTTAAGTATGAACATAGATATATTAATATGGTATTTATGCCGCCGTTAAATTGTGTTATTTGTATTACCGTGCTATTAAAATATAGTTTAAATGCTGGTTGATAGGAATCATTGGTGAAATTTAATTCCTCCATTCTTGACCACGTTTTTGAACTTAACATAGTCAGTCTAACTACTTTCCTCACTATGATTTTTAAGTAGCAAAGTAATATATTTTAATAGGGTATTAACGCAACCGTTTTTTGTGTTAAATGTGTTATTGTGCTATTAAAATATGAATAACTGTCAAGATCCTTTCAGGATTTTCTTCTCATTCATTTTCTAAAGTTTTGAGGATTTCGAGTATTTCATGAATTCTTGTTCGCGATTTAATCTCTTTCCGAAGAAAATGAAAATAACAGGGTTGCTGGATTGTCTGTTTAAAAGTGCGCCGGTAGAAATTCTTTCATCCTGCTTTGTCCACTTTTTGATCGTTTTAAACATAAACTAACTTCTTTCGTCTTTCTGAGTTTAAGGTAAGAATGTATTTATATATTGATAGGATTATTCACGCCTCCGTTAAACTGTGTTATTTGTATTACTGTGCTATTAAAATTTAGTTTATAAGTTGGTTGATAGGAATCATTGGATGAAATTTAATTTCGCCATTCTTGACCACGGTTTTGAACTTTCCATAGTCAATCTAACTATTTTCCTCACTACGATTTTTAAGTAGCAAAGTAATATATATTAACAGGGTATTAACAGAACCGTTGTTTGTGTTAAATGTGTTATTGTGCTATTAAAGTATGAACAACTGTCAAGATCCTTTCAAGATTTTCTTCTCATTCATTTTCTAAAGGATCGAGGCATTCGAGTGCTTCATGAATTCTTGTTCGTGTTTTAATCTCTTTCCGAAGAAAATTAAAATAACAGGATTGCTAGATTATCTGTTTAAAAGTGCGCTGGTAGAATTCTTCCATCCTGCTTTGTCCACTTTTTTGATCGTTTTAAACTTAAACTAACTTCTTTACTCTTTCTGAGTTTAAGGTAAGAATGTATTTATATATTGATAGGATTATTCACGCCTCCGTTAAACTGTGTTATTTGTATTACTGTGCTATTAAAATTTAGTTTACAAGTTGGTTGATAGGAATCATTGGATGAAATTCAATTCCGCCATTCTTGCCCACGTTTTTGATCTTTCCATAGTCAATCTTATAACTTATAATAATCTTAAAACTTACAACTTCTTTACTCACTATGATTTTCAAGTAACAAATTAATATATATTAATAGGTTATTTGATGCCACCGTTGTTTGTATTAAACGTATTATTGTGCTATTATTATATGAAAAAATATCCTTTCAAGATTTTCTTCTCATAAATGTTCTGTTCAAAGTTTTGAGGATTTCGAGTGTTTTATAAGTTCTTGTTCATGATTAAAAAATATAATTAAAATGACTGACAAACGGTAAAAAGTCAAAGATTTTAAATAGTGGTACAATAATTCGCACCAAATTTTCCTGAACAAATGTGTTTAAGGATCTGGCAATAAATTGGCTAAAACGAATCCGAATAGTTTTATAAACAAAAATATTTTTAGCCTACTTTGCAAGTGGATCTTTTTAGTGTTAATAACTTTAGATAGATAAATAAGAAAGTAAATAGATCTAATCTCAATTAGTACCATCCTGAAAAGTATATTCTTACCCTAAGTTAAAAAAATATAAAAAATAAAAATAAATCGATTGATTTATAAATCTTGAAATACATGCACATCAAAGGCAGAAAACCATGTTTAAAAATATTATTTAAATTACAATTTTAAAAATTATTCTCGCCTCCTAGGGAAAGCAAGAACGGACATGAGTGGGTAATTTTCGACCTATCACTCTGTATAAAACAATTTCATTAAAATCAGTGATCCCACGTCCTTATCCTCCCCGTTCTTAGTAATTTCTTGAACAATTAACAAATATCCGTGGAAATTACAATCGAATGAGGATTCGAAGTTAAATCTCGCCGGTTTTAACAGGCGCGAAGTAAGGAAAACCCAGAGACACGAGGTCTTACAATTAGTTAAAGCTGAACTTCGTTTGAACTTGATTGTCTCTTTAAGCTCGGATGCTATGTCTGAAGGGCGCTTGGAGGGGAGTGATGCGGGCTTCACCGCACCCTGTAATTCCCCTGCCGGCGTAAATGTACATTTTCACAATTCGCACTTTGCAAAGTTGTAAATTACAACGTGTTTTCAAAAAAATGGCACGATTTTCTCGAAAATTAGTTTTACAAAAACCCGGTAAGCTGCATTACATGTAACATATGGGATGGAACGGCCA